CGTCAAACGCTTATCTTTGTACTCATCAATTCGGTCGATATCCATACTTCTAATTTGCATAATCTGTCGAAAGTGATAATTGTACAGCTCACGAATGGAAACAAGACACTCAATCGCGGCTGCACAATTTAATAACCTGCAAAAATGTCGTGAGCAACAGTGTCTGATTGGTCACATTATGACACGAATTTCGAAGTTAATTAGCCAATCAATGACATTTGAGGCCAGGTTTTCGAAGTAAAATTTGGTGAACCATTCCGTCGTTCCCTGTAGTCTTCGCTGATGTATTGGTGGTCCGTCATTGCGCAATGGACAATGGGTGAACAGAGGAGTATTCCGGATAATTATCCGGATTATTGTTTTAAGGAAATTGCACAACCATACTTTTCCACAATGATTACGCAACAACACCGTCGGTGTTGTTTCGAAGGAATTACTCCACTCAGGCCTAAATTTATAATAATTCGAGCGGGAGTACTGAAAGTCAAGTACTACCGTAGTGGATTTTCACTTTGCAAGTTTTTAAAATTCGAGCTATTTTATTTTCAATACGTGCCAATCCGACCCAAGCAAATGCTTGGATTCCCCATGTCGCGAAGGCACATAAGTCTATCACCATTCATATTTAGCCTTCAAGACTGGGGATTCATCATCTTTAATTCAAGACGAAGCGATTAAGAAAAGAATGAGCTAAATCCGACCAGTATTTGTAAACGAAAGATTCGTTTTGCCCAAACGCACGGTATAGTAGTTGACATCACACATAACGTAGATTTCCAATTTAAGAGATATATTTTCGAGTCGCTGTCGGGAAATGGTAGCAGCTCGGCACTGAGGAATGGGTTTCGACTTCTGAAAACTGATAATTGAACAGGAAACGCAGGTCTTTCCAACAAGCTCTGAAACATCTATTTTCACAGTATCTATCATGTCCTAATATCCCATTTTCTAAGCAGAAACACATCATAAGTAGGATACAGTTTAAGGGATATATTTTAAGCTTGATCGTAGTATTGATCCAAGCGTATATTTTTTGTGGTTTGGGTATAATATTCTGTCAGGTACATATGCAACCTCAACAGGTTATGTATTTATAGAGCCAATTGATTAATTGATTTATATAAAACACATGGGATCATGAAGAACATTTATTTAAAGAGGTAATTCTACACAAATTTCAAGGTGGGTGATTGGCTGAAACCGATGTCCCTTAAATTGTCCCATGTCTCTTAAATTGGAAATCTACGTTAGTCCTTGCCAGATTCTCCGCAAAGGCAGACCCAAACTATTTCAACTGCATTGGAGATTCTCTTACGTTATCAACAAACGTTTTGTAGTTACTAACTTACACGTTCAGTAAGTACAGTGTGACAGAGCAATCGTGCCGCCACGTGCACAGACTCTTTTCACCCAATCAACGTCTTGGGATCGAGATTCCACCAATGGCATTGCACGTCCACGAACCGACACGACACGACCAACATGGCCGCGCCAGGATCATCGACAACGCGAGCGCGGCTAAATCTGGATGATTCACTTCGACTGGTGCACGATATCTTGGACGAAGACCAGAGCTTCCTCGAGTACCTGCACGACGAAAACATGTCCAAGCGAGACCGCCTGCACCACCAGCTACAAACGCCCAAAGCCCCGCCGCCGCCGTCAATTCGTCCAGAGCACTACATCAACGACACATGCCACGAGCTCCAGCACGACCTGCAACAAATCGAATCGGAGCTATACTTCTACGACTCCATGAAGCAAAAACCCTCGTCGGCCAACGCCACAGGACGGACTCGTCGTGGAAGCGCAGCGCTGCTGACAACTGGAACAGCGCGACCGACCCAATCCACGCGTCAACCAGGTCCCGCGCCCAAAGCGAGGGCAGCCAACCCGTCGAATCCCACCATCGCCACGTCATTTGATTCCTTGTTGGCCAAACTCCAGCGAGACTACGAACATGACCAAACCGCACACGTTGCGGCGCAATCTCGAATTCAAGCGCGGGTGGTGGCGGCCCATAAAGGTGCCATGGTACAATATAGTGATTGTAAAGACTAGCATATCTGTATATGTTCACGGGGCGAGTCCTAGGTCTTTGGAGACTTCCAAACACAGCCAAACGGGTCCTTGTCGCAGCCGGTCTGTTCCCCCACCATTACTTTAGTCCATACTGAGCGTATTTTTACACCTGGTACCATCCATAGACTGTCGAAGATCCCAACTGCTCGTCTCGTCAAGACAACGATCGGCCTGTACGTCCTTGTATGCCCCCTATAGACATGCATGTCAAGCTCTGCCGTAGAATAAAGTACCCACAGATGTATGTGATCTGGATCAAGTGGTAGGCATATGTTCGCATTGGAAGTACAATTACGAGCGATAACGACTCAACGATCAGTTGTTAGGAATTCGACCGAGGCGACCCGAATGTGTGACACTCCAACTTCTGTGACTTTTTTCCAAACCTTTTTCATTGCTGTTTGTTGTAGTGGTCTAAGCTACCTCCCCCCAACCAGCCCCCCAATCCCCCCCAAGAGGTACATTCTCCACAGCTACACGAGACGACAGCAAATTACTTCTGCTTGTTTTAGCCTAGTCGACTGCGGTCAACATCGATGCAAGCCCTTCGTGACGCCTACTCCACGGCCATTGATCAAAAAGCAGAAGCAGCAGTTCTTGACGGCCGACACAAGCAAGCGCAAGCGGTGGAAAGTGTGCTCGAGCGATCTCAAATCCGCAAGCGGTTGGCTGTGGCCAAGCTACAAGAAGTGTGTGACCGAGACACGCACGACGTGGTCGAAGCGACCAAAGCCGAGCTCGGCCAAGAACATCACGTACGCCCGATAAGAGTAGTTTTTGGCTCGGTTTCTGTTTTCCAATCGAGTCGGGTGGGCAGGCGGAGCTCGCCGCCGTGCAAGACGAATGGATGGCCAAGAGACGCCACGAGCTCAACGAAGTGTTGGTGGACAGCGAGCGCCGCTTGGACCGAGAAAAAAAGAACGTGGCCGAGAAATTTCAGCTGGAAACGGACGTCAAACGCGCGGCGCTCCAACGCGAGCTCGAACTCGACCGGGCCAGCGCATTGCGCGAGATCGAACAGACGTTTCAGGTTGGCATTGTTGGTTGTCGTTATTGACTTTCGATATCACTTGTGTGCTGACAAGTGCATGTGGTGGCATTTCATGGACGACAAAGATTCATGATGAATGTTGACGATAACGTTAGAATTATATATCGTAGGGGGAACTAGAGGCATTGGAAGATCGGTTGCGGCATGTCGTGGCGGAAGAGCTGCAGGCAAAGCGCCAGCAAGTCGCGACGGCGTTGCTCGTACGGGAAGAGGAGTTGCTGCAGCAAGGCCGGACTCAGGCGTTGGCGATGCATCAAGCCAACGAACACGCGGACGTGGCCAAGCTACAAGACGCCCTTCAAATGGGCTCCAAGTTGCGCCTCCAGCAGGTCATTTGTAGTCCTTTGTAGCCTCAAATGTGATGTGGTTGTCGCTGATTGCTCTTTTGCAGTTGCGGGATCGGTTGGACGGGCAACGAGCAGCCAAGTTGGCCGAGATCGAACGGGTAGCCAACGATACACTAGAACGCTCCCTGGAACAACTGCGCAACGAGCATGATGGTGAAACCAACACATACGTCCATACTACCCAAGACCGACTAAGGCAGTACGTGCATTGATATCCTCTTGCGTGGGAGTCTATTCATGTGTACAAGCACATTTATTTATTTGAGGGGGGGACATCGACCTAGTGCCATTGTAGTATGTGGTTCGAGCTACAACTATCTACCGATAGATTGCTAGTCGGCCATGTTTTCGAGCTAAAAATTTGTATGCTTGGTAGGGTCCATGATCGAGAAGTGGAGTCGTTGCGGCAAGCGTTGGCCATCGACGAGACACGATCGCTCAACGACGTCACAGCCCAACTACGAACCAACCACTTGCAGCGGTAGGACCGTTACAGTACTGTCTAGAATCTGATGCACTTTGCATATGGTTGACTTGTCTGTCAAAACATGCAATGTGTAGTTAAGTTTGATGGTGTGTAGTGTCCAGCGTATTCGCGACGACCATGAACGGCAGCGCTCGGAGCGACTGGTCCAGCTTCAGCAAACGTACGAAGCCGAGTACTTGCTTCGCATGGAGGTGCTTGAAGACGAACTCAATGCCAAGTTGACGGCAGACATGAACGACCGGGCGGCGGATCACGCCCACGCGTTGCAAAAGCAGATGGCGACGTGCAAACAGCATTTTGCCGACTTGACAACCCGGCTGTCGTCGGAAATGCACTTTTTATTCCAAGTGTCCAACAACCCCACCATTTCCTCTCGGTCGAACGAACGTAATCGGCAACCGACTGAGTCGAAGGAAGCAGACGTCGTAGACAAATTGCACACGCTGGGCGTCACCAGTCGCGACGTCCACAAGTGGGTCCATGCGCTCAGCTCCGAGTACTACGACCTCTGTGACCAGCACGCGGTGCTCGTCGAGTCGCTCCGCCAAGCAAGTGCGCAAACCAGTACGTGGAAACAAAAGGCGGCTACGAACGAGGTGGCCCTAACACGGCTGCAAGCCAAACTGGACAAAGCCATTGCTGACGTTCATGACAAAACGCGGTTGTGCCAGCGGCTCTACAAGGCCAACGAGCAATTGCTCAAGCAACTCCCGACGTCGCCGCCGTAATCGACAGAATATTACGACGAGGGCTGCAATTGGTAACGTTAGTATGCCTTGTTCGCAAAGTGTAGTGTGGGAATGGAAGGGAACGATGAAATGCGGGTCTCGAAATTGAACAGTCAAGATGGGCTACCGTCTACAATCTACCTACTAGTACAGGGCGGATGGAAAGACAAACTAGTACGGAACGCGTGGCGGGGCTGTTTATGTTGGTGTGTTTGGCTGGCGCCGAGTTTGCGCTGATGTGGCATACATACACATTGCAGTCGCTGGTTCGTAGGCGCTGCCAACACGATTCACATTGACTGTGAATTTCTATCCATGATGGTTCAGTTGTGTACTGTAACGTTACCGGGTATGCATACATTAGTTGATCTACGAGTTGAAGCTGATTGTGTAATCGTCCTGAATTGCTGCGATTATTCCTTTGACACGGCACGATTGGGGTGGTCAGCTCCAATGTCAGCTGCCATAAAACTTGCCCGTGGAACTCAAACGTCGACGGAACGTTCGCGCATCACGCGACAAACCCTCGCAGGAGGGCTACTACTGTTTCTCGTTCTTTTGCTGCATGTCCACCACCACCCCACATGTCGTAGTAGTCGTACTAATATCGTTATTTATAATATAAATAGTACTTTTCGTATTAATAGTAGTACTTCGAAGTACATGTATTTAATATTAATACTTTTATAATAGTACAGTACCGGTAAGTCGTAATACGTACTTGGAACGTTACTGCTAACTTACTGTAATCCTTCGTACTAGGAACTACTACTACGTAGTACTACATAGTAGCTCCAGTCGTACTGTACTGTGGCCAACAACATTACATGCTGCCCACGTACACCGTGTCAGCAAACAATCGACTTGGCAGCGCCGATCTATTCAGTCGTTGGCAAGTGCATGCACATCCATTCCTTGTAGTATATTGGTGGCCTCATGCCTTCTACAACGCCTGCAGGATCAAAAGTTGATCGTGTTGACCCACAAGTTCCGAGTGGAATGCTTCGCAGTGGATGTCATGGTTCAGCTCGTGGCTGGACGCGAGACAGGCGTCGATCATTGTGAACTTCATTCCCCCAGTCAACGCACCATACAAACATGCAATCGAAATCGTCCCCCAACGCGTTGCGTCGCCAGCAGTGTCTGTGTAACCACGTCACTTGAAAAACGCGTTTAACGTACTACGTTGAACGTCGACAACGCGTCCGAGGCACCGTGTCAATGGGCGCACAATGTAGCATTCTGATATGCCTAAACTATCGCCGTCACCACCACCTTGATTGCGCTGAAACTTTTTAGCCCGTTGCACTTCGCACGCAGGTCGAAGGAGCGTAGGCGTAGGATTTCAACCACCCTAGGGAGTATAAAACGTAATCACGTTAAAGATCCAACCTGATTGGCAGTGGGACAAGGTGTAAGCCATGAGGCCAGCTTCGCACTCGCCCCTTCTGCCCACATCGCGTGTCCTTCAGGACACCTCTGGCCTTATTGTGGTTGCTTCATGACGCCAGTCTTGTGGTTTTGGTATGTCGATATCACTTCCATATTCAATTACACCTTGCAATGCAGCACCATCCGAACGTGACCACCTGCAGCATGTTTCCTGACCAGCATCAGCACCACCAGTATCATATCGCGTGCTCTGTTCACGCATGCTACCGGTACGCCAAGGTCCGTGGGATGTGCCTTGTGCATGCATCTAGTTTCCACCGCGTCACCGCAACCACCCAAGCCGACACCTCCCCGCTCCCGTCAGTGGGCTCGCTTTCGCCCAGCACGAGCACCTCGTCCACACTGAGTGCACAAGACGAGGCTGCATCTGCTACCATGTTCAACCTTGCGATGCTTCGTCCAAGGTCGTCGTCCCTTCGGCCCCGTGACGTGGCCGACGACGATAGTACCGACGGCCACCACCACCACAACCTTACCAAGTCGTCCCGGCGTTGCTTCATTGCAAACTGCGACAAATACGCTCGCATCGCTGGCTTGTGCACCCAGCACAACATGAAGCTGAGCAACCAACGACGAAAATGCAATGTGGACGGCTGTCCATCGTACGCCCGCACGGCGGGGCTCTGCATTCGCCACGGCGGCGGCAAAACGTGCTCTGTCGACGGCTGCGTCACTGTCCAGCAATCCGGTGGCCTCTGCCGAGCTCACGGGGGTGGATCCAAGTGCAAGCCGTGCAAATACACTGGTTGCACGCATTTTGCCCGGGTTGGAGGCCTCTGTGGCCAACACAAGAACCAACCTATCGACCCTGATGGTCGATTGCCGCCCTCTCCCAACGCGATGCTTGGAGTGTTTTATTAGGAACCGAGAACTCGTAAAGTCTTTGTCGATTAACTCCGTCATGCAGAAACAAATTACTTCGATAAGTATTGTCAAATCGATTCCCCTCAGCAGAATCGAATGTCTTTCGAGATTGTGTTCAAGAACCGCCTAAGCCAATCAAATCACGTTCTAGTGAATTTCTGCCAATCCAAACGTTTGATTTGACACTGTCCCTCCGCATTGGGGAAAACCATATATATCTTATTATTTGTAAAGTATAGTTTGTACAAGCTTAAATTGGATCAAATGGATTTGAATGCATTTGGCGAAATGACTCACAAGTCCAAATTTGGGTGAAATGCACAATATGATGTGTGGAATGGAATGGAGGCATTGAAAACTGCAACCGTGGGGACCTAACTTCAGTACTACTACGGGTAGTAGTAATGCAATTCCCGGTCAGCAAATGGCCAATCACAATCATCCATGGATAATGATTGGACAAAATTATGTACACTTGTATCATATACTTGTAAGATTTAATATTCTGCTTGTAGGACATATAATACAGTTTTTGTTTTACTGTTTGTAGCACTTCTAAATTTAATTACATGAACACTTTATACATATCATTATTAAGAGGTTATGAGAATTTTGTCATATATTATCTGTCAAGTGACTTATTGGCCGGGAATAAAATTCACACAGGGAAATTTCAATTTTAGAAATTCGACGAGCAAATTGACCATGCGATACTAATGATGGGACCTGCATAAAGTTATAAAGCTCGTCACGAACGTCAAAATGCAGGTTTTCGCAGCCTCATCGGATGAATGGGTGACGAGTTATGGCACTCAGAAAGTAGGCCAAGCTGGCCGGGAATTACATGAATCACTTACTGACTACCGGTAGAACTTTTCAGTACTCTTTAAATACGGGAGGGACAACTTGTTGTGCTTGCTTGGCACTATTAATAGAAGGGGCAACTCATCAGCAATCCCCTTTTGGCCAAGACTTCGGCATTACATCGGAAACAACATACTGTGCTTGAATTTTTTTAAATGGATTCTTACTTCGTTCGATGCACTGGATTACGGGTAATTAATGCAACTTTTTTACTGTTACTGTAATTCCATGCGGAACAGAAATACTTGGGTCGAAAACACTGCGAAACGTGTGGTTGGCGTTGTCCCACAGGTGTACCAGGACTATAGTGGGATCGTTTGTCATGTACCGTTCGCACAAGGACAGTCCAAGAGCGATGGCATATGCGTTAGCCGGGAACCAGCAGTTCCATTGCAAATGGCGCAACGGAAGAAAATAATCTGCGACCAGGAGCTATCGTGGCCTCACAGTCAGTGCCGGTCGTACATGTGGTCTTGCCTTACCTCGTCTTGGCTTTGGGCCATACTAGTATATGTAAGCTTACTGTACTGTAAGAGGTAGGTTATGTTGGCCAATTCAAAGAAATGAAAGCCTAACGTTAGACCAACCAATCATGCATCCAATTATATCGCTGCATTCGAGCCAGACAGACCACAGTGCACACACGCTTGTTTGGAGCAATGCGTTTTGTTTGTCATTCGTAGGGAAGGAGGTGCTACGTAGTTTCCCGGTGTACCTTCTTTTAATTACTGCAAGAACCACTGTATCGCAGAATACTGTACTAGTTGCCACCACAAACACACAGCCTGGATGATTTTGGCTTCATGTAGAACAAACACATTGTAGAGTTATAATCCGATATAACGTCTCGGAAAAAGTCTTCTTACTGTTGTTAACTGTATATTGGATTTTTGCGCTTACGCTACATGGTTCCTATTTATGCCTCGACAGTTTCTTCGGTTTCGGGCCGGTGCAAACTGCAAAGGCCACGAGCGCGAGTAAAGTGCACACACGTGACATATTTGCACCGAGGTCCCTCGCCATGGGATCTGCACACGCCTCCAGTCTGTAAAACGATCTTACAGCCGTGGACAGCGCACGTCTTGCCGCCCCCGTGGCGAGTGCACAGGCCGCGTGTGCGGGCATAGGCAGTGCAGGCGTCGACAACGCACTTGCGCTTTTGGCTGGCAAACTGCATGTTGTGTTTGGTGCAAAACCCGTCGATGCGGGCGAGTTTGTGGCAGTCGGCAATCGCACAGCACTTATCTTTGAGCGTTCGGCAATGTGGTTTTGAAATCATTCGTTCGATTTGCGCGTTTTCCACAGCTGAAGGACGCAGGGACGGGGCATACTGACGTTGTGCAGCAGCACGGACGATGCTGCTGCGCTGTGCATGCAGCGTGGAGGCTGTGGCTACGGCGACTGGTGCCACTGGTTGTGGTTGCAGTGGTCGTCGCGATGGCAGCATGCTGCAGTCGTAATGGTGGCCAAGGCACAAACCATCTCGCTTGGCAAACCGGGCACACGTAGTCACACCACAACGCACCAAGACAGTTGGCAGGGGAGGATTTATCAATGGTGACGCTGGCAGCAATGCTTTCGGTTCGAGCGGCATGTTGCCGTGAGATGGTGCTGTGAATATAACGTGGAGTGTGTGGGAGGGGGCAAATTGCACAATGCGTCGCAGTGCAGATTGTTGGCTGTCCAACAACTAACACACTATCACGTGTGTAACTCGCGAATTTGAAAACGCATCCCCCAAGGGCCCATCCATGTGTCACGGTCACCCTCTCACCCATGATTGCCCCCATCAATTGTATGTACACTGTACACCATATTTGTGGACTACCCATACAGTAATCAAGTTCACTCGTACAACGGACAGCGCTGTATGTGATGAGAGAAGGGGCTAGCAAGGGAGATGGCTCTTCTGCCAATACAAGGTGTTCCACAACGGCTCCTTGCCATGCGAGATCGGGTTGAATTGCCCATCTCATTCAAAGCCTGTACACCTGCAGTACTACTGGTAGACTAGTACGTAAGGCCCAACAGACCCACCTTGCAGTATTATCCCTTGTCGGATAACTCATGCTCCGACACGTTGGTTGAACTACTGTACAGTTGGTGATTCATGTCGTTTCGGCCCACCATGCAATTTCCGCCCAGTTGGCAGCCAATCACAATCATCAAACGAAGATGATTTGACAAAATTAGTTACTGTCAGGTAAATAATACCTTTAGCATTTAATATTTGCATTCATTGACAAGTCATGTAATCTCATAATTATAGTAGTGACTTCTACATTGAATACTTTGTACACTTTATAAAGATTACTATTAAGAGGTTCTGAAAATTTCAGTGCTCAAATCTGTCTTACATTATTCAAGTCAAACACCTGGGCGTAGTTCACATAACTGTACTGTATTAATACTATTAATACTACCTCCGATTGGAAATGATTGATAGGTTTACCGGTTACGTACAGTAATTATTATATTATACAGGTATTATCAAATTTGCTGTACCGCATATCTCCACCTAAACCTCTATAACCGGATAAGTTCAGGAGAAATCAGATATAGGTATATAGAAATTATACGGAAGCACAGTGAAAATTGAGCATCATTCCTGATTGATTTTGACCACCATAACTTCTAAAATACTCTAATTAGGACTCACTAAGCATTAAAATCGGATTTCTTGCGAAATTCTCTACCTGGAAGCATATAGTCAAGGCAATAACCTATCTTGACTGAGATACAATTGTTTAAAGCTCAACAAATTGAAACCTATCAATCATTTCCAATCGTAGGTAGTACTTACGACGAAACCCAGTCTTTTTGTGCGGACGATTGTTATCCGTACGCCTGATCATTGATATCCAAGTATATAAATTATAGTATATAAATCTCATGTACTAAGGGTGTGTCTGGTAACATTTCAAAAAATATATTCCATTTTCTGGCAAAGTGGGATAAACCAAAAATACCATTTTCAAAATGGAGGTAAAAGACCTCCTCAAGGAGTAAACCCCACTTGGAATTATTGGATTTGGGTTAACAATAAAACTCTTCAAGCAAGCCATGTGCCACTATTTATCAGATTTATTGAATTTGGCTCGAAAATGGCATTTTAGGCCAGTATATAGTGATATTTCACGTTACCAGACGCACCCTAAATAAATATCGGTACTGTATACCGGTACTCTTCCGTTCCCTACTTAGAAGTGACCTCAAAACCTCATATCTTGTCCAAAGTAGATGAAACGTAACATTTTTGAAAGAGTATGATTTTTTTGGAAAAATTCTGTTTTGCACACCGGTAGCGTAATTGACTCTGCTTACTGTTAACAAAGTGCAAAAATAAAAATACGCAAAAAAATAGAATTTTATAGAAACACTAGGGGAAGAGTATTCGATGGTGCTCTCATATGACTCTCTTTTCGAACTTCGACACTACACCGTTGTGAAATTTTCTGAGTGGTCATAGAAAGCCACCAAATGTAGTATATAACCCTTGTGCATGATGTGTCTGCACTATTGACTGTTTACATCAATGCCGATTTGTGATGTGACTTTTCATGACAAATCCCACATACAAAAATCAATATAATAATCCTTACTAATTCTCAATATAAAAATTAGTGCTGATTGAGATATAGAGCGGTCCGCACTAAGACATGTGCCGTAGGTCAGGTAACGAGGTTGAAAATTAGTGCGGTCCACACTAATTACGGTCAACGGTGTAATATTACTGTAATACCTAAATATTCCAGGAATAGTTCGCATTCCATCATGGCATCCAGAGGTCGCTCGCTTTTCAAATATTTTGCAAATATTTTCATACCTCCCATTTGAAAAGAGAATTCCCTGTCCGAATATTTTGTAATAACATTTTCTGTGGCACCCAGACTCGGCCTAATACATGTAATCCATTTTTTTATTCGGCTTAAGAGTACTGTATCTCCACCGCGACCGGTTATTTCGGGGAAAAACTACTTCCGGATAAGTTTACCCATTGTTTTCGGTCTTTTTCTCCACCGCAAAACTGGTTATTTTGTTGGGCAAATTTGAATGCCCGCCCACATGTCATCCCCGGTTCGCGTCGGGCCAAGTTCGACGTGAATGGCCCTGCCACGGCTTTTTCATCACTTGGTACGTGCGCGCTGCGCGTTGGAAGTTATCAGTTGTCGCGCCGTCAGGTCTGTGGATGTTGGCGGCATCACCTCCGTATACTTTGCAATCAAGATAAGGATACGGAGGTGATGCCGCCAGGATGCACCTTCATGGCACAACTAGACAATGTCGCTTACACTATTGTATGCTGCTAATCAAGTTACGACATTGCCAGTTATATACTTCAAGTATTACAAGACCACAGTTAGCAGACAAACCTCAGCCGCTGAGGTATTCGATGGCGGTTCGTTGAACACGGACGGTGAGCGGTGCGCCAAGCAAATACTTCTACGATAGCAGTGCCACCATTGAGGTGGACGCTCGTTTCAATGGTGTGTACCCCATGGCCCGCACCTATGCTTCGCAGCATATGACCATAGGAGCAAACCTTGTTTACTTTAACAGTAACGTTAATAGAGAAGAGACCTTCGCCAAATCATCCGATTTTGCCCAGAATTCGACGTGTCTTTATTTTAAAGGGACCATTTGGAGGTCGGTTGAGATGAAAAATTGGGTATTTTAGTTATTTCAGGTTTGTCCCAGAAATACCATTTGGAGGTGCGGTGGAGATGCTCTAGCTGCGGTGGAGATGCTCTAACGTTAATCCATCTTTTTTACAGTCTTTTTATATTACAAGAGGAGATCTTTACTACTACGTAGTATTTCTTGACATTTGTTTTGCTACAACAAAATGCCAATACCAAGCTGCTTCAAAACCCACATACAGAATAACCGAGCGGAGACATGTCGCTTCTGTACTTGCCCAACGGAAAAAGTCCTTCACCAAACGTCACCAGCAAGCAGCACCAGTTTGAAGTAGCCAACATCAATAGTATCTCCTGACATGAACATTGAGATACGCTCACGTCAACTGTCAGTGCACTGCTACAATGTGCGAATGTATATTCTGTATCATGTCGGTCTTGTGCAGTTTCTTCGTGAGGCAAGATACAAATTTCTCGTTTTTTTCTGATTTTCACAGGTAATGTTTCACATTTCGCATGCTACCTTCCGGATAATAGAATGACCGCACGTAATATCCGGATGTTGTGTCGCGTAGAAAGTAGGTCGTTGGTTGCATTTGCAACTGACTCTTCCACAAGAGGGTGTTCAGTACGTACGTCGAGAGCGGTCATGGCAGTGCTGTTTGGAGTCCAGCTGTCATCCACGACGGCAGGGATCGTGTATGCGCTGCTGGGCTTGGCGCTGGTGCTGCTGATCGGCGCGATCATTTATTATTGGAACTACGCGCGGCGAATTGAGCGGTTCCTCGAGAACGACAACCGGCACAACAACATGATGCGGCAGGACCTGGTCGACACGTTCGTGGCACGCGGCGAGAAAGAGTGGACGTGCTCGATTTGCTTCCATGAGAACCACCCTACGAAGAAGGAGTGCGTGATGTGCGGGACGCCGCAGATCGTGGTCGACACGATCAATTCGCACTACGACGCGTCGGTGCCGCGGCCGTCCGGCCTTCGCAAGTCGGACTTTGTCAACCCGACGCTGCACAAGTCGCGATCGGTCGTACTGGACCAGCAAAGCCGCATCCGATCGTTCCACGTGCGACGGCTCAAGCAAATGGACCTGACCACGCGCCAAAAGGCGGCGATGCGGCGGCATCTGTGGAGGCGAAAAAAGGGGCCCGACGGCAACATGCATTGGATTCGCATCGACGCCGACGTGAACGACCCCACGCGCGAGAGCACCGTGGACATGGAGATGCACGGCGAAGGCCACGACTTTGTAGACATGCTCAGCCCCATCTCGAACACGGGGTCGTCGCTTGCCGAAGAAGACGAGTCATCGACCAACTCGACGCGTCGTCATGAAAACCATGTCGCATTGGCAATGCGGGACCTGGGCTACATGGAAGAAGAAGAAGCACCGTCTTCGTCGGCGTTGCAACACCCGCTGCGGTCCACGGCGCTCCAGCAGCTCGAAAACGCTGAAGAGCGGCAATCCATGTTTACTGGCAATTCTACTAGTACGACTACAAGTAGTAGTAGCCACCATCGCAAGGCACCGGCTGTGGCTTCGTCGGCGGCCATGCCCAGCAGCAGCAGCGGCACCGCCGTCATCACCGAGGGCACTGGGTTTGGATGGGGCCAAGGGCAGACGAGTTTTCCGCTGGCGGCCATCTCCGAGGACGAGCGGCGCGAAAACTTTACGACGCTGTCGACGGGGTACATCCGGCACACGACGGCGGATGGCGCGATGGAGTTTGCCCCGGCGTTGGGGGTCGTTGTGGACGGCGGATCATCGCGGCAGCCCGACTGCGACGACGACCTGGAAGAGATAGCCGCGCTTACGTTTCAAGAAAAGAATAATTGGTTTCTCCATCAAGTGCAAAAGCGGTGGCGTCGGTACGAGGACGGCCACATCCAGTTTGTGGTCCGAAGGGATCACATCGTGGCGGATTCGATGGAGCAGACGCTCAAGTGCCCCGCGTCGCGGTTCTGGGAGCGCCTTCGCATCTTTTTTGAGAACGAGCCAGGGCTAGACGCCGGTGGGTTGATTCGCGAATGGTACGAACTGCTCTGCGACAGGGTGTTTGGCGAAGAAATGGGTCTCTTTGTTGCGACCAAGGGGTCCAACCTGGCATACTGGATCAACCCCAAAGCTGTGCTACGACCCAACTACCAGCAAGAGTTTGAGTTTGTCGGCCGGTTGATTGGCAAAGCGCTGATTGAAGGCTTCAACATGAAGATGTCCCTCGCACTCCCGTTGATCAAGCACATGTTGGAAGTGCCCATCTCGTTTTCAGACCTCGAGTTCCTGGTACGGTATAGCATGTCGCAGTATATATATATATATTATATGTATATATATATTATATGTATATATATATTATATGTATATTATATGTATATATATTATATGTATATATATATTATATGTATATATATTATATATGTATATATATATTATATGTATATATATTATATATGTATATATATTATATATGTATATATATTATATATGTATATATATTGTCGATTTGATACAAATTTGGGGAGGGGGTGCAATCGAATCGCGCCGACCAAACTGATCCACAATCGATCTGATTGGTTGAATTTCATTGAGAAGGTTTTGATTGGCTAAAAATTTTGAGCTCATCTGAGGTAGCCAATCAAATCGATTTAAATTCCAATGAGAAACCACTCCACAACACGAAAATTCACTCGAAAGCACAATATATCTTGTGCATTCATTCTACACTTCTTAAAATTCGCGTGGTTTGTCGAATATATAGTATGGAATCACGGAGGAGTGAAATACTACTTATATTTTCTGTGTGAGCCAATCAAATCCACAAGATATGTCTATCTATATATATGCGGGGGTCTTAGCTCGTGTGGTGGGGAGTACTGTTGTCTTCTATGGCTGGCTGGCTGGCTTTACGATGGGGGGAGGTTGTATATGTACGCCCCCCCCTGAACCACCCCGTCTTTGCCCCTTCAATGCTGTGTTGGATTGAAAATGGAATGAGACAGGGGGATGTCAAGAAGACCCTGTCACAAGGATTAATATTGTTGAAGAGGACTTTGCTGTTTCTGTGTACTCAACCGAGTGTGTATAGGACGACGAACTGTATCGCAACTGCACGTGGCTCAAACGCAACAACCAAGCCGACTTGTTGTCGTTGGATTTCACTGTGACGGGGCTGACAAACTTGGAAGTGATCGAGTTGGTGCCTGGCGGTGCCGCCATTGCCGTTACGGACGACAATAAGGCCGAGTACCTCGACTTGCTGCTCAAGTTCCACATGTTTGGCAGCATCGCGTCGCCGCTGAACGCGTTCCTCAAGGGCTTTTACGACATTGTGCCTCTCTTTTTGATCTCAGTGTTTGATTACCAAGAATTCGACCTGCTTCTGTCGGGGATGCCAGACATCGACACGAACGACTGGCGCGTGTACAGCGAAATCCGGTGGATCAAGCTCGAGACCCCCTCGGTCGCGGAGACGGCGGTAGTCGACTGGTTCTGGGCGGTTGTGGCCAATTTTTCCCCGGAAGAGCGCGCGCGGCTGCTGCAGTTTGCCACGGGCACGTCTCGGGTAAGGGTGGCGAGCTAACGAACGCTCTTTGGATGCGCTAGCTAGCTAGATGAGGGGGGGGGCTGATGGTGGTGTAGGTGCCGGTGCAAGGCTTCAAAGCGCTGACGTCGACCGATGGCCGCGTGCGCCGGTTTACAATTCAAGTGGTGAACCGGGGACCACCCCCGACGGGTCTCATGCCCAAGGGACACACGTGCTTCAACCGCATCGACTTGCCGTTGTACGCCAACAAGGCCGAGCTGGCCAAGTACTTGACGCTGGTGATCAACATGGAAATCACGGGGTTTTGGCTCGAATAACATGACATTTATATGTGTGTCTGGTGTGTGAATCATCATCCTTCAATGGGGGTAATAAATACAGTAAGTAACGTTACTGTACGTCATTGGGCAATATTTGGATGGGGCAGCGTAGATACAGTAACCTATGTGATGTGGGTTGTTGTGGACATGGGATGATGTTTTTAGCTGAAGCCAGGAAGGATAGACAGAAGAGCTACATGTAACTACCGGTAGTTAGCCGTGTTTGCCGCAAAAACTGCAACATGAATGGGCCAACAACGTTCAACAAGAATGTGTGTATAGATAGATAGATAGGGTGGTACAGTACTCCAAACAAGAGCAATGCATTCGATTAACTATGAAGTTATGTACGAAGGTGGTAGATGGAGCAGGGGTCTTGCACAATGAATGATGACTTATGAGAAGCCGCAGAGTGTGTGTAAATAGAAGCAGATAGACAGCAACGGAAATTAAAATAATGTTCACCAAAGCAACTTACAATTGTCAAGTGTAAACTTGTCGCAGACTTGTATCAAAGGATTTAATTTCGGTTTCAAAAGTACCTGATGACCGAAGGCTGTTTGATTTCCTTGCCTTTCGGCGGTCGTACGTACATACGCCATCATGACCGACCGCGCAACGCTGCTCAAGCACACGTCCATGCACAAGGGATTGACCAACTATGTGGGCCAGAACAACTGCTTCCTCAACGTGATCATTCAGTCGTTGTGGCACCTGGACAGCTTCCGCGTGCTGATCACGTCCAGCGACCACACCGCCCTGCACTCTGTCCACGACACGTGCCTTCTCTGCGAACTCAAAGAGATCTTCACGTATTACGAGTATGGCGAAGAGAAAACACTTGCACCGGACAACGTGCGCGTGGCGCTCAACGTGCTTAGCAGCCAAACAGATCGGTTCCGGCTAGGGGCTATGGCCGACGCCACCGAAACATTGGACATGATCTTGGCGTCGATGCATGCGGACCAGGTGCGCCACCACGCCCTCCCCCATCCCACCCCCACCACGCCACTACCACCTCAACAATCCTTGTCGTCGTCGATCGAGATCAACGACACGGACTGCGACCCCAAGTGCATTGGCCACGCCTTGTTCGAGTCCAACATGTTTGACATGTATCGGTGCCAATCGTGCCAGGCCACGTCCGAGCCCGAGATGTGGAAGGATACGTTGTATCGGGTGTACTTTGCCGAATTGTACCAGTGTGTGGCCAACACCACGACAAGTGCAAAGTCGTTTTTCTTTCGAAGTAGCTCGCCAACCGCAAACCACCCGTCTAACAAGGAGAATTCGTTTGAAGCGGTGCTTCGCACGTTATTGAATGAAGGACCGAGGCGGTCTTGTCCTGAGAACGAGCTCACCAAGTGCCGAGGCAGCTGCCTCGTGGATCGGTATAGTTCTAATACTTGTATGGTGGTGGTGATCAAAATTGTGCCTAGTTGGCTCATGAAGTTTCCGATCGTGTTTGCCGTGAGCATCGTGTGGCCCGCCACGACCGTCGGCGGCGTGGAGCTCAAAGCGTTTGCCAACATCATTCCCCATCAACTGGACCTGGGCTTGATCTTTCGACTGGGGGGCGATGCCGCCGATTTGCCCAAACCCGAATCGATCTACGTCTTTCGAGGCATGGTGTGCTACTACGGCCAGCACTATGTGAGTTTCTTCAAGTCTCAGTCCAAAGCCCATGAGTGGTACCTTTTCGACGACGTTCAAGTGCACAAGGTATGCATGCATATCCATCTCGTTGCCATGGATGCCTCCACGAGAATGTTGTGGCGAAGTGTGCGGATTCAACCCCTATTTCTGTTGTAATGTCTATGATACAGGATATATGTGATCTCGTCTGAGCGCGTGCCACGTCATACAGTATCTGCTGTGATTGGCCTCCAATGTTTTATGGACGAATGCTGTTAGATTGGATCGTGGGACGAAGTCCGCCGACGCATCGAACGGGGCTGCTACCAACCCACAATATTATTTTGGGAAAAGAACCAGCTCAAGTTCGATCAACTTGAAACCCTGGCCCAACACGTGCATTTGCCCCCGCCCACGTCGCCACGGAGTCCAGCGAAACGGCCACAAGAACAACCTTCGCCTTCTTCGCTAGTTCCCGTGCTTCCCGTGGTAGTCCATCCCCCTGCCAAACCATCGCCCCCGAAACCATCTCGGCCGACGCTGGCGTGCCACGTGTTTACGACAAATGTTGCCCCCAGGTCCCCTACCCTCTTGCCCGATCAAGCAGCGTCATTGGATGCCCTGGACACCCTCGATGAAATTGTACGTCCACGTTGTTTGATTTAGCACCAACTGTCCATACATTTTCCATGCATGCCTGCGTGGTGGCGCTTTTTTGTTTGGGGGCTTGGCTGCCGCTCGCCCTGGACTGGCGGCGGCCTTCGTGTTGTTCGTGTTATGGAGTCGTTATCGTGTGTGTTGCTGGATTGATGTAGGACATTGGGTTGCAGAGTTCTTCTAAAAGTGGCACGCGTCTATCGTTCACAGCCCCCCTGCCTTCCCTGCATCGCACGCCAACCTCCCCATTGGCATCGCATCCGTCGTGGGAAGTCCTGCGCGCCCCCGTCGCTTCGTCCCCCGATGGAAAGTGTCGGTATATCGTCCGCCTCACCGCGCAAGATGGCGGTCTAGGGCTCGTCGTGGGGGACGACATCTCGAGCCTTGAGCCCCCCAGCGAATCGTCATCAGATCCCCATCCCCCTCGCCGCCTCATGATCACAGCGCTAGAAACATCAAACTCGAAGCGGCCGCTCCTGCCAGCGGTCGCGTGCGGAGTCATATGTGTGGGGGACCAGCTGCTTCAAATGGACGGGGAGGTGGTCGAGGACGAGTCGTGGACAGCGTGGACGGCCATGGAGCGCCTCGTCACAGCTTCTGGCCCTGTCACATTGACGTTTGCGCGAGCTGTTCCGTGGAGCTGTTCGCACTGCACGCTGATCAACGACGTCGGCGCCACCACATGCGCCGCATGCGATCGGCCACACTTGCAACTGCCGTCGAGTGGAGCGGCATCGTCGGTAGCTCCAAATGAGGCAAGTCAGAAGCAACAACACACGCCAGCGGCGGCAGCTACCGCCGATGTATTCGTATAACACGACGTGATAAAAAAGACACTGTGCAATCACACTATTCATTTACTGCTATGTCGTTCTAGCGACCCCATGGTCACCCACAAGCGCTCTTGTCTGTAGGAACGAGATTTTGTTCTCGCTTCAACACATCAGGGACTACTGCAGTACATACATATATCGACTGGTTTGCTCCAGTGGATGTTCGATTGTTGGGCACTGCAACTAAAAGTTGGAACCACTGGTACTATTGCTGTGACCATAACGCTACAATGTACTAACCGGTAGTTCTACATAGTAATCAAACATCCATTGGAAGCGGTGTTTACTACTCCCGAGTACTAGTAGTGCCGTAGTTGTGTCGACAGTATTGGTACTGTACTTTCCGTCTTGTAAATACAGAGCACTTTGGCGCAGAGGAAGCGTGTTGGGCTCATAACCCAAAGGTCCCTGGATCGAAACCAGGAAGTGCTATTTCTTTTTGGCTTCCATACTGTTGATTTGCCCCACCACAAGAACGTTCAAACCATCTGACGACGAAACCTTGCACCTTCCTAAACTTGAATGTACACTAACCGTACTACTACTGCATCGTCCTAGCTAGCGCACACAAGCTTACATAGCACATAGAAGTAAGACAATGTACGCACACAACCTTGCATTATGTATCAACGGTAGTGATTGCTTAGGTTGGTGGTGAGAATCGAAAGGTTGAAGTTTCAGTTTGGTTTGGCGCAACGTCACACCCCATGTGTTTGGCATTGTGATTGGTTGGAAAAAGTGTCATTTCACGCGCGGGAGTTTAGTTTTGTAGGACATAAACGGTGTCGATACACAATCAAATCTAAGACCGTACTTGAACAGGATCATTTCTATAGTGCAGTCATCTTTACTTTGTTTTCCAAAGTAGACGATACCAATAACTTTGAGGATCGGAAGTGACCCCCTTCGTTGACTCGGGATGTCGGCGCACGTGCTGTGGACGCAAGTCCGGGTCGTGGCTGTTGATGAACGTCCACTGTTGCTATTCCAAGACAGTGTGAGCGGAGGCGGGTGTTATGAGAAGTTATTGGTACTCGTTTTTTCATTCTGCTGCTCCCCTTCCTTAATTCATGCTTGCGGCTCCCAAACCATTGCTTCTGCCACCCTCCACATTCTTATCACATACTACTGTATTAACTGTAAGTACTTCGAACATTCATGCCGTGGGTACTGCATAAAGCCCTAACGTTGTACTACATGACTACTGTACTTTGGTAGAAATTACTACTTACTAGTACAGATAGAGAGCTCTTGCATGTTGTAACCGAAATCTCGATCAAGCTTACTAACACTTCTGAAGAGTAGTGATGCAGTAATAGATTGAACATAGGGAAGATCGTAGATACAGTAACTAGCATAATTCGGAAAACCCCCACTACTCGATGTAGATTAGGTACTCACGTTACGTTAGTAGTTAGTTGAATGTAGTAGGCAGTTCGTGCTTTCAAAATGGTACTACCGGTAGTACTATATGATCTCCAAATCACTTTACGGGTTGGGCAACGTGTACTCGACATTCACATCCCATCGACTGCCACGTTCGCGGCAGCTCACAAACTTGACAAACTTCATCGTGCTGGTGTCTCGCACGACCAGACTCAGCGTGTTGTTTTGAGCACCGATCTGCACGGGGGCGGCATCGTCATCCTCATCAGTTGAGTCTCCGCCGTTGAAAGCCGCGGCGGCGACGTCCCCCACACCGTCGGCTACGGCGCGCATGTAGCACTCATACCCCGACGCGCTCCACGGCGCTTCAGCGTCCCCTTCCTGGCTAACGTCATCGCAGAAACACAGCACGGCGTCCAAGATGATGGGAGGCGATGATGTGGCAGCTTGGTGGGCCAGCGTGTAGTCCAACCCAGGGCGCAGTCGTCGGACTTCCGACCGCGAACCCGTCGGCGACACGCCCGTGGCCAACGACAGCCATTTGACAAATGCGGGAGATTGCACCAGCGCAGTTTGCACATGCGCCAAGAGTCGTCCGGGGGAAGACGGAGATGAGGGGGTCGCTCCTGCTTTGGTTGTATTTACATCCTTGGCATCCGTCAACGAGGACTGAAGTTTCAGAACTTCGGAGGCGGCAAGCGCGGCACCGGTGTAGCGAAGGTACCGCTGGAGGAACAGTGGCCCTTGCGGAGTCCAATGGTTGGAATCGTCCGTGCTGTAACCAGCAGTGTAGGCAGGCACTTTTCCGTGTCCAAGTTGATCAGCACTGTCGGCTGCACGGGTGGCGGTGTCGATGGCAGAGGCCCACTGCGCCGTCAGAAACGATTGCAACTAGAAAAAATATATATATTTATATACATATGATATATATATATATGATTGGTGTCGGGACGGAAGGGAAACAAACCCAATATATATATATATATATATATAGTACATAGGAATCTCCCAAGAAAAGTTGACGGTAATAAAAATAACAATAACAACGTGTTCGAGGAGCAAGGATAACACACAAGTGTAAAGTGTTTTATAGGACTTTTGTCAAAATCCACAAGAAATTGCATCAAAATTAATCCTGCCAAATATATTGTAGTATATTCGATACAGACCCTGTCGAATCGAATCTCGCCACCGAATCAAATCATGACGAATCGACGCTATTGGCTAATCCATTTTTGAGTGGATTTTTGATTGGCTCTTTCAGAAAGGAAAAGTATATTCACTGTCAACCAATCAAAAACTCTGGCGTGATTCAATATTGATCCGACAAACCAGGCGAATTTTGCAAGTTTATAGCGAATTCACAATATTGTCGTTTTGATACAAATTTGGGGAGGGGGTGCAATCGAATCGCGCCGACCAAACCGATCCACAATCGATTTGATTGGTTAAATTTCATTGAGAAGGTTTTGATTGGCTAATAACTTTGAGCTCTTCTGAAGTAGCCAATCAAATCGATTTAAATTCCAACGAGAAACCACACCACAACACGAAATTTCACTCGAAAGCACAATACTACTTGGAACAATATTTTCTATCTACGGGTTTTTAGTTGGTGGGGATGGTGGTACATTTGTACGACATACCTGAATGCTTCCAGTTCCCTGAAATGCATCTTGAATTTGCTCCAGCGTATCTTTTGTAAGGTAAATAGCATTGATAAACGGCGTCAGCGTGGCGAGTTCTGCCTCGGTGAGTTGGTCGTCGGATTCGACTTCAACCGGTTCGAAAGGTCGTTGCGAGGCTTCAATGGCAGTCAACTGTGTGGCGGTGGCTTCGTCTACGCCCACAGGTGCTTGATCCTACTCGAGTCAAATTCACATATATATATATATATATATATATATATATCTTTATATGTGAATTTGGATATAAATATATATTTATTTATTTATATGTGAATTTGAATCGATATATTTATATATTGGACATGGATACAAGATGCAGCAATGAACTGCAGTATCTGTTGTAACCAAAACTTGATATCCAAACGAGATTATATGAGTAATCAATCACGAGTGAAAATGGAAAATCGATGTAAAATTTTATATTTGAAGGTCTATAGCTTTCGTTTTAATTCGATTTTTTTGAAGTTTTCAAGGTTTCCCCAATATTTCCGTGCACCACGGATTGAGATTCGTCGTCGTAGTACCACGAAAACAACACAACGAATATTGTTGTGAGTATTATTCTAAACTGGAGCGACATGGAGAATGAATGAATCGACCAACTAAATTAAATGCACACAAGAATCATCGGCAGAAGGATATATATAGCCAATCAGATTGCAGGAAACCATCCACAACGTCAAATTAGTGTGATACGAATCAGCACAAAAGTCCACATTTTGGGTCAAAGGACAATATAACACGACCCATACATCATCACACACATATATCCGATGCATTCTTTGCCCACGTAGGCATCAATCAAATAGTTTTTTACCTGGTGAAACCAGCCCTGGATCGACAAGCGTGGCTTGTCTGCGTACACTTCCTACGTTCAACAGAATGCACATCCGTTTAGATATGACATATTCAAAGTCAAAGTCAGGTTTAGGAGGTGGCGTTCTTCTTACTTGGACGGAGTGAAAGCTAATTCCCGGGGCCACGGGAAACAACGCGAGCGAGTTGTACGTGGGCAAGGCAAATGCCGTCGGTACCAGCGCTGGAACCCCCGACGATTCAGACGGGTACAGCTCCAGGGCGCCGCCGTCCGCGGCCGTCCACTCGTCGTCGGGGTCGCTCAGGTAGATCACGTAGCTGATGCATCGTGTGCCAATCACGTCGTCGTGGGGAAGGAGGTGGCAGCCGGCCATGTACACGTTGGCGGCGCAGTCGACCTTGTCGTTAAGCGGGCCACATCCCGTGATGTCTGACATGTATTGCCGGAACTCGGTCGTGTACTAGTCGAGATCGTTGAGAAGATGAAAACAATAAGGCCAGCCTACCAATGCATTGCGAAGCTTCAAGAGGGCTGGCAGCTTCTTGGCCAGTGGATTCGACAACTGCAAGTTGCCCAAGTCGATGGTTTGGTACAGTTTGAACAGATCGGTCTCTTTGAACGTGCTTTGCAGCTCCTCCACGCATTCCACATGCACCTAACAAGGCCACACCGTCATATACGAACGCACGAATGATTGGAATATGGCAAAGGTATCGACAAGACGACGGATGGCAAACCTTGCGCATGTGCTCGGGGGTACACAGCACTGGAATCTGATAGTGCGGAAACGGCGCGTTGCTCAAGCACTGGTCGCGAATGCTTCGCCGCGTCTCCGTCGACTGGTTCAGCAAGCCTGGATGCAGCACCGCTGTAGGTTCAGGTTTGACCTTCTTGAGGCTGGGCTCTGCATATATGTCCATGAGTTATCACGGAGATGCACAAGGATCGATTATACCTGACATCGCAAGGGGCTCGCGTTTTTGTTCACTGTTTTTGCTGGACGGCACTCGAAATGACCGACGTATCCGGTCCATTCCGGATACTACCAGCTCGAACAGCAATCTCACATGTATCAAATGTGCATTCAACTTTTGCACGCCAACTTTACAGTATCGATACCTCTGTGAATCCGAGAGGTACAGTACATAGCGTGGTTATGTAGGGTGTAGAGAATCAATGAAGTCTCACACCTCACCTGTATATACTTACAGATTGTGCACGACGTACTGTACTGTGGTGGGATGTACTATACATATTAATACCAATGAAAATGGTTTAGAAATATATTAGTGTACACTACTAATAATATTGTTGAGTATTCAATACATGTACTGGTTATAGCTCATAACCCTAGGCTACACTCGGTTGCAAGCCGTTGATATTCAGAAGTAGGTTGCTCTTTTGCTGGGCGACAAATATATCGGCCATTAGGTTGTTGGACCCGTTGCCAGCAATCACAACTTGGTCGTTATCAGCCAACGACGCCATCACATCGAGCCGCTGCATTTGGAGGACAAACGTGCACTGCTTCTCCAGCTTGAGTGACGCAATGCCTTGTGCCTCCGACACGATTTCCTTGGCACGAGCTTCCCCCACGGCTTGGATTTGAGCTACGTCAGCGTCCATCTTGAGTCGCAGGGCGTCCAGCTCTGCATTGATTTTCGTGATGGTGGCCTCGCACGACGCGTAAATCTCTGCCTGGATCATCTCGGTTTCGGCTTGCAGCTTGGCCATCTCGAGCTGGGCGTCGGTGACAATTTTGCCGCAGCGTACTTGTCGGTCTTGGTTGATTTTCGTTTGAATTTGCTTCGTGTCGGCGCAGATCATGTCGATTTGCTTTTGGATTTCGGCACAGTGCTGTTTGCCAGTTTCGGTTTCCTCGATGCGGATCATCGCCTTGGACAGCTTGGTCGTATCAATCTCTTCGCGGTACTGCAGCAACTGCATGTCGCTTTGCTGCTTCATGTTTTGCTCTTTGATTGCGCTCGTGTACGTGGTCTTTTCTTCCATTTGCGATTCAAAGTTGGCTGGCAGTTTCACGTTGGTGATGGCCACGCTGGTGATTTCGACACCGTACGGGTTGAACTGTTTGTTCAAGTTATTCTTCATGTCTTCGGTCACGCAGTAGATCACTTTGGCCGCGGGGGGGACTTGCCACATGTTGTTAACACCGTCATCCCCGGTCATCTCGGCACTCTTCAACACAAAGCGAGGGTCCAGCATCGGGGCGTCATCTTTCTCTTCGTCGTCGTCGTGGTTCACAGGGGGGACTGGGGCAGGGGGGCGCAATTGCAGTTCGTTCTTGAACCGTTCCTTCACCGTGCCATCGCGCAGCGAGTACACCTCCGTGTGCTGGACACTGCGAGCAAGCGCCCGCACCGCTTCCTCTTGGGCATCGCGGAGCTGGGTTTCCAGGCCCTGGGGCCCCAATTCGTACACTAATCGCTTGACCAAGTTGGGGTCTTCGCCCTTGGAGGTGTCTCCTGTGATGCGGAACACAAGGCACATGTCGATCTGCACCGTCACGTCGTCTGCGGTTTTGCACCCTTTGACCGGGGTGTCAAATACCACATACTGCTTGGTCACGAGGTACGCCACTTTTGTGAAGACGGACGCGCGGTGGAACCCCGCTGGCCAAATCGGGCTCGTCGAACCATTTACGGGATCGACGTAGTCGACGTCCTTGCCGTGGTGTTGTACGATCGCGTACATGCCATCAGGGATGCGGATATAGGGCATCACGGGGCTACGCCCAGGCTGCAAGATCACCACGGTACTGCCGTCTTTGCACTCGCCAAACTTCTTGTTGGCCGAGTCGACACGCCAAATATGGTCGAACAAGAGGTGCGTTTGGTTCTTGCTGCTCCACGATGCCGCGGTGGTAGTTGAGGTGGCCATGGTGGGAATTTGAATATAATGTGATGCAAAAGGTGGGTTTCCATGTCAAATGGTTTTCAATGAAACTTTCAACAATCCCAGGAAACGTCCAAAACGTCGTAACGTTAGGGTCGGGGCATCCGTGGAACGTCAAAGTTGAGAACAAGTGTAATCCTGTGGAAAAAATGTCAAAATTATTTCATTCAAGGCTGGTTTCCATCCAATCATATCAACCCATTCAATGGTGGTTGGCCGTGGGTTCTTAACCGAGTCCATTATCTGACATAGCGAACAATGCATATCGTGAATGCTTCCGATGGTCCTTATGGCTCAAATTGTTAACCACTTGATGCTGCATACAATGGTGTGCATTGTGTCCTTGTCATATCAATCAAACCCATCGTATGAAACTCAACAGGAGTGGCATCGAATCTTGCTGCATCTCCGTGGGCGGGTAGACCGAAACTGTCACACATAGTTAGAGCTCAATGGAACCCAAAACAATTGCAGGTCCTGGAAAGTTCCCAGATGAAGAATTCTGTCCCACAAAGTCAAAAGTGTACTTCTGTACTGACTGTAGTAGGTACTGTACTGTAGTTGCAAAACTATCGTACCTTCAACATCACCGTGGTAAGAAAAAGTTATCATTACCCAATTCGACTTGTCATGGCTAGCTTCTCCACGCAGCATCCGCGGCAAACGGTGGTCGTACAAGCTACAATCCGCAAGCCCCTGCACGCCGAATCGCACTTCAACAAGAAAACCAAAGACGGCAGCATCCCCCTCGTGCTCGTGCCCACGTACCCCCACTTTTGCGACACGTTTGTGCGCATTCCGTCGGGGGTGTGGGTACTGTACCAACGCTGGAACGCCCACGCGGGGATGCTGGAGCCGGGACTGATCCCCGTGTGGGCAGCTTACAACCGCGTGTCCCACATCGTGACCAAGCATGCGGTAGCGTACTCGGCGCCCGTCGAGCGGTGTCCTACCTCGGACAATGTCATGGTGGACATTGACATCTCCATCAACTTTCAAATCGGGCCCAGCGCCGACGACGCTGTCAAGTTTGTGTACATGCTCGGCGCGCAGCGTTTCAACGAACTTATTTCGATGCTCACGGCTGAGGGCATTCGGGGGTTGGTGCATTCGGTCCGCCATGACCAAGTGCACGACCTCCGCGAAGAGTTTGCGAGCGGCATGAAGCGCGACCTCAACCACAAACTCGTCGCGTACGGCGTGGTCATTCACAACGTCAAAGTGACCAACGTAGCCCTTCCCACTCGGTTGTCTGCGACCCTGGAAAAGACGACGGCGTTCAAAACCAAGATGGAGGAGCAGGAGAAGAAGCACGAGAACGACATGCGCATCTTGCTCAACGACGAAACGAAGCTGCTCACCGCGATCCAAAAAGCCAACGACCGCAACGTCAAGGACCTTGTAGCGCAAAGGAACGCGAACTCATCTCTCGACACAAGTTGCTTCTCGGCAGCGAAAGCACCATGGAAGTGATGTGCATCCACCAAACAGCCAAGTACAACGCATTGGTTTTGCAAACCGCCGGCAAGCGCGACATTGCATTTGCCACCGCCACCGCGGCGGCCACTATGAAACGCAACGACGCCATGATGCTGCTCGTGGCTGCGCAACGCGAGTACGAACAACGTGTGAATGCAGAGCAAATCAAGCAACAAGCGATGTTCGATGTCGCAAGCAAGACGGCGGCGGGGCTCTTGGCGGCAGCCGACGCCGAAGCCAAGTCGGCCGACGCACTCACTGTGAAGCGCCAGTTTGAATACGCGTTCAGGAAGAACCAAGTGGACCAGCAACTGGTCGGACGGGCCAAGATGGTCATCAGCGGCGACAACGGCGAGGCCCTCATCCGACGGCTCGTCGACGTCTGAGATGGCATGTAGTTCTGTCCAGCTACTGTATATACTACGTAGTATGTGTCAACTCTCCCTCGTACTAGTAGTTAGCTTACTACGAGAGAAACTAGCGCTTTGAACATGCATAAATTAAGAGGAAGCATTATGGTCGTCCAACGGGCTCGATTCGGGACTGTTTTGTACCTGCTTACTACGTAGTAGTCGTCTGGCCATGTGCACTTATATTTGGAGTTTGTATTAAGAGGATTGTAGTGTAGGTGGAAAATCAGTAAATTAGCAGCGATTGATCACCACGTCTGTAGCATGATTTGTAGCGTAGATGGAAACAAAACAGATCCAGTGCTGATGGATGGCCACGCCTCCAGCATGACTTGCTGTGTAGTTCGAAAAAGATGGAGAGGGTAGTGTCCTACCTATACTGGCATAGGCATCACTACCCGGCGCCCTCCCACACAATTAGCTACTATCGTTAGTTAGCCCAAGCACTTGACAAGGATATTCGTACCTTTCACGACACCGCCTTGCTTCAATGCCATGCCAAACTGACATGGTGTGGTTTCATGCTGTGTTGCTATTTCTTCTGTATTGCTGTTTACTGTATGATAGCCATGTATGCACTGTGCTGGCATTAACTGTAAATTGGGTGGTTGGCGCCGTAGAGTCGTCCACAGATGCAAGAACTAAAGTAGGCATGTGGAGATAACTCCAAGGCCAAGCAACTACCGTAGCCATGAACAGAAACCATTATCCTCTTCCAGCAGACGCGTTTTCAGTGCGCGGGAATGCCCTTTTGCTGGATCCAACGATCATGTACGGGTGCTGATGCTCTTGAGCTAACTGTAAA